CTGTTTTTTGGTACTCGTTAAAAGCCTTGCAGCTGCATTTTGAACTATCTGCAAGCGGGATAGGGCTGACTGACCAATCCCAAAATACAGCGAGTTGCAGTAGTCTAATCTAGATGTAATAAAAGCATGAATTATTTTTTCAAAATTTTTACTAGACAAAATAGGTTTTACTTTAGCTAGAAGTCGAAGTTTGGAAAAAGCAGGACTTGACCACCGTATTTATCTGTTTATCAAATTTTAAACCATCATCAAAAATAACAACCAGATTTTTTACCCAAGGCTTCACGGAAGAGATTAAATCGCCAAGATTTACTTTCGGTGTACTACGAGAATCCGACGGACCAAACACAATTATTTCAGTTTTACTCTCATTGAAATTAAGAAAATTTAAAGACAACCAGGCTTTCACATCAGACAGGCAAGACATAAGTGCTTCCAGACCATTTGAACTCTGTTTTAAGGGCAGATAGATTTGAGTGTCATCTGCATAGCAATGGAAAGACAGACCATGTTTCCTAAAAATAGAACCCAATGGGAGCATGTACAACGAAAAAAGAATAGGCGCCAATATGGATCCCCGGGGAACACCACATGACAAAGAAGCTACCTCAGAAAAGTGTTCACCAATGTTAACTCTAAAACTTTGATTGGAGAAATAAGATTTAAACCATTCAAGAGCACTTCCTTTTATGCCTACACAGTGCTCCAAGAGAGCAAGCAGGATAGCGTGGTCCACAGTGTCAAAAGCAGCACTCAAGTCTAGGAGCACAAGCACAGCATGATCCCCAGCGTCACCAGTTAATAGAATATAATTTAAAACTTTCAGAAGTGCAGTCTCAGTCGAGTGGTGTTTTCTAAAACCTGATTGAAAGACCTCAAAGATCTTATTTTCATCTAAAAAAATTTGTAGCTGTTGCAGGACTACTTTTTCTAAGATCTTTGTAATAAAAGACAGATTTGAAATGGGTCTATAATTGGCTAAAACAGAAGGATCTAGGTTCGGCCTCTTAAGCAAGGGATAGACTGTAGCATGTTTTAACACATCTGGCACAGTACTAGTCTCAAAACATCTATGTATCATGGTCACAAGATAGGGACCCACTGCA